CCCTGCCGTATTTGTAAAACACCTTCATGTACACGAGTTATGTATACCATTACGTGTAAACATAATTTAGTATTGAAGTTCCCCAAAAAGGTCATTTGAGGGTTCCGCATTGAGCGTGGCTTTTGTAGCTACGGTGGATCTTTTTAACTTCTAACAGTTGTTTCCTCTGGTGGATCACTTGGATCAATAGAATGCCCCAGACGAATAAAGTATATTATATGTTTATTACTGAAAGTTTTTTGCATTTTACTAACAAAATGATAAATACACTTTCAATATGTTTGTTCATGATACCAAGTTTCGTTGGTAACTATCTACATGCAAATATACTGATGTACCTCGCACAGCACGCATAGCTACCTCAAAGTAGGCAAGGAACCCCGCCTCGGAGGTAAATTTTCCCGGACGTCCAGGCCCCATCGCCTTATCACCCATTTCTGTTCCATTGATTGTCTTGAAAGTCCTTCCATATGTAGCGATGCCAAGCATTAACTTCTCTGGAGGGGCACCATTGGACAACCAGTACGTCACTCCCCAGTCCTGTAGACACAAATCAAATATAGTTAAACTGCATTCTCTTCCCGGTACTTCTTATTGGATTGTTTGTAATTCAATCTTCATGCTGGGGTATATATACGAATTGGAATCTTGTATTGTGACCTACCTGGTTCAGTTCCGCCATCGCCCACGACTCGGACTTTCGGGGGTAGAGCGGACTGTTGTGGCCGAGGGTGTGGTCCCAGGACCCGTGCAGGTCATATGTCATTAGGTTGATAAAATCCAGATCACTGTAACATCAAGAGTCTATGTTATTCTCCCATCAAACCTTGAATTGTGTTGGTAGTCACTGTACTAGCATTCCCACGAAATGCAATACATAGTGAATGATGCTTGGTCTAGTTCTCATTAAATACTGTTTCTATCAAATCATACACTTTTAATAAACATTGATAAATGATTTTTAATTTTATCTTTTTAGATGCACAAACATCAATTTTGCTCTAGTATCGTTCGTTTTGAACACCTACTTAAAATGTAGTCCCGGTTTGTATATGTATATTTTCTGGTATGTTACCTTCCATGCAAAAACTAAAACAACTCGTGTTTTGTAATTAGTTAAGCATATCATCTGTAGCCATACTTTGATATCTTTTCAATTTCGTAACCGGCTTGGACTACTGGTTTGCCTATTGGTACTGCAGCCGTCAGTAGAAATCTTGGTAGGCCAGTCTTAGTCGCTTCCGCCTCGAACGCGCTCCGTAGGATCTGGAAAGATAAATATA